AAGGGCTACCCCTGAGGAAGGACATGAACTCTTAGGCATTGTCAACAAGGAGGCCCCCATGGACTGGAGGCTATGCTCTGGAGAAGAGTACACCTGTGAATTCTTCCCAGGGAACACTCAGCAGCTGCGGATGGCTGAATCTCCCTGGTAAGGGAAATCTATACGTATCAACAGTTCTTAACTTTAGAAATACAACATTTTAACCTCAGTCTTCTAATGCATTTGCTTGCTGTATGTTTGGTTGTTAGCTAGACCAGCTTTCCAGAGCAGTGCCCAGGGCTGGTTCTAATCACGTCACCTTCCTTCTTCCTATCACAATTATCTGCTCTGGATCTCATTTGTGGATAGGTTACAAAGCCTGTTTCTTTGCTTTGTTTTGTTTTAATGACTGGATACCCAGTAAATAGGTACCACGGTGCCAAACATATGCAACAGCATTCATAGAATAAGGCCTATTTTGTTTTTTTCTTTTCTTGTTGTCACCTTATAAATATGCTGAAAATCTCTTTTTTGAAATTAATAGTTTTATATCACTGTGCATAGGGGTATGCAATAAGTTTATAAGGATACAATTCCAAACACTAACCCCATGCTAGTACTTACTGGAGAGCTGACATTTTCAAACACTGGGGCATCCCAGTACCTCCTAAAATCCTAAATCCATAGGTAATGAACTATTATCTATTATTCCTCAACATGAGATTCGCATTTCCCTCATTGTCCCTGTTGCTTAGGCCTAATACCACCAATTTCCTCTTCCCTTTAGTTTTCCCCTAAAACTAAGGGTTTCTGAATCACTTTTTTTTTTTTTTTTGAGACAAAGTCTCACTCTGTCACCCAGGCTGGAGTATAGTGGTGCAATCTCGGCTCACTGCAACCTCGGTCTCCCAGGCTCAAGTGATTCTCCTGCCTCAGCCTCCTAAGCAGCTGGGATTACAGGCGCACACCACCACGCTGGGCTAATTTTTGTACTTTTAGTAGAGACAGGGTTTCACCACATTGGTCAGTTCGTCAGGCTGGTCTCAAGCTCCTGACCTCGTGATCCACCCACCTCGGCCTCCCAAAGTGCTGGGATTATAGGCATAAGCCACCATGCCTGGCCCATAATTCTAATAAAGAACAAGCCCAGCTGCTCCTGGAAGTGACATCTCTGGAATGTGAATCACTTTCTGAAAACTAACTGCAGCCCAGTGAGAAAATGTGAAGAGGAGAGAAAGGGCAGCTCTACAGGTAGGATACAGGGAATGGAGGCAGTAACATCAACAAATTTCATGCTAAATCAAAGCATGGCTGAAAATGACAGTAACTCTGTGTCCTGGAGTTCCTTTTGACTCCACCAGCAATGAATCTCTGTCAGATAACATAATTGCATTTCCTGGGAAGGAGAAGGCTTGAAAAGCACCAACTGAGTCTGCTCTGCCTGGTATACTGAGCACTTGAGGGAGATGGGGAAGTGAGTTCTTGTCAAGAGCCTGACAAGGACACAACACGTGAGACATTACCTTGGATACAGCCACAACCAGAGCTGCCTCTACTGTGTGTGGCTCTGGGCTAAACTTTTTGGGGGGAAGGATGAGGAAGAGGACACTATCTATATAAACAGTTTGATTTTTAAATATATTACAGAATTTATGAGCCCAAGTGAAGTATCACAATTTGTCAATGAAGTTTTAGAATAAGGAGAAAAGAAGAGATACTAAATATTTCTTTATTGTCCAATTAATGTATATGCAGATTCTTTAGGGTTTCCAGATATCTCTTCCTGTTAGATCTGGGGATCATTTTTGCATGCTTTTTACTGTCAAATGTACCATTCTTGAATAATGTCATGTCTCCAACCACAAGAAAAAAGGTATTGCACTGCTATAGCTCTTCAGAATCTGTTTAAACTGAAACAATTTGTATCTTCTTGCCTCTGCAGCTTTCTAATGCCATTTAATGCTGGTTACAATGTTACTCATAACAGGGAATCATTCACTGTGTTGCCTAAATACCAACTTCCAATGACTCCCTCAAAGGTTACTTTATTACTTTACATTGCTGACCATGATCACAAATGCAAGTCTTGTCCAGAATATGCAAAAAAATGAGAATGATCATTTTCAGGCCATGTAGAATTTGCAATTTGGAATTTTGTAGCATAAACATAAAACATAACTTCTATTCATGTCTTGTCTTAAGCTCTTCAAGCCATAAGTATTGCATTCCTAGAATGTGACCTCTTTCACAACTAACCACATTCCCACCTTCCACACATTGCCACCAGCAAGGGTCCTGTGGGCAGAGTGAAAAAAGCATCCCGTTCATACAAGGAGGAATTATCCTTCACCTTGCACAGATTAAGACCAACCCAAGAGAACATGTTATCACTCACCAGTTGGAGGCAAGAGAAAACATTGATAGGAAATGCCCCATTGGGGCTGGGAGCGGTGGCTCGTGCCTGTAATCTCAGCACTTTGGGAGGCCAAGATGGGTGGATCGCTTGAGGCTAGGAGTTCAAGGCCAGCCTGGCCAACTTGGCGAAACCCCATCTCTACTAAAAATACAAAAATTAGCTGGGCACAGTGGCACATGCCTGTAATCCCAGCTACTCAGGAGGCCAACGCAGGAGAATTGCTTGAACCTGGGAGGCAGAGGTTGCAGTGAGCTGAGATGGTGCCACTGCACCCCAGCCTGGGTGACAGAGCAAGACTCCATCTAAAAAAAAAAAAGTACCCCACTGGCACTGAGGAGCAAGAGTCTCAGAATCCTTACAGAAGACAGGAGTGGTCGCTGCACACCTCCACATGGTATGTATCTTGCGAAAGGGATGGAGTAACTGCTTGGATGCCAGCAGTGGGAGTTCACAGGGTAAGAAACACGTACTGCTACTACTGCCACCCCTGGGTGCTGTGAACTACAATTAGTACAGCCGTAAGAGCATGGCCAGCAAAAGTCTCCACACATGCAGCTCAACCCTCAAGATCAGTAGTAAGTGGTCACTGGTGGCCCAGAGTCCTGGATTCATCCTGCATCCAGGATATATTTGAATCATCCAAAATCAGGTGTCAGCACCTTTCTGGTGGTCCTCTCTGGTGATCTCAAAAAACAAAACAAAACAAAAAAAACCACACCAGCCAGAGGGAGAAATTCACTTCCCAAGCCCCCCTCCTGGAATGAGGGCCTGGCGTTAGGGCCCCAGATGGACCCTCTTAGATGCAAGTCTAAGACCTCTTTGTTTTTGTTTTTTTGAGACACAGCCTCACTCCGTCACCCAGGCTGGAATGCAGTGGTGCAATCTCCACTTACTGCAACCTCCACCTCCTAGGTTCAAGCAATTCCCCTGCCTCAGCCTCC